TGGAAATGGTGAGGTCTTAGTCATAGGGCAGTCCTAAGTTGTTCCAGAAGTCATTTATGGTAAAGCCCATTCACCCAGGGAAGCCAGAGTGTGGAGCTTAACTGGGTATCCACCCATGTTGTTTTGTTTCTTCCTTTCCCATTTCCTATACTCTCCTCATTGCCTCACAAGACTTGGAGACTTCTTAGACAATCGTGGTTAAATGAGAAAGGTCTCTGTGCCTCTAAGGAGAATCATTAGCATTTTCGTGTTTTCCAAAGTGAGGGGTAAATGCCACGGACCTATTGTATTGCCCTTACAGATTCTGTTTGTAAACCTGAAGGCACAACTTTTACAAAATAAATGACACCCAGCCATTTGTTGAGGCGGAACAAACTGTTCAGATTTATGGTCCCAAAATAATTTTGGAGAAAAATGCTGTGTGTTTTTCGGATGGCAGAAATGAATGTTTGAAGGTCTCCTACGAGTCCATTAGGTGGGAAGGTGAACAGAAAGGGCCTTCTGGGCTCTGCACATCGCTGGCTGTGACCAGTCTCCTTGCTTGGCGAGTGCACTTGGTCAGGAGGGTGACGATGGAGTTTTGTAGGATCTGAGCCGTGTTTCATATCATGACTCTAGTTCTTGCCTTCCTGCCCTCTATACACTGAGGAAGGCTGTGTTCCTCCCAGAACATTATTTCCTTTTTCCTGCAAGTGTAGCATCAAATCTTAGAAATTTAAAACTAACAGGATTTGCTGTGGGCAGGCTATGGAAATGCCTTGACGATCTGGGGCAGGATCTGTTACCTCTCAGGGTGACTTTGGGCTCAGATACTTTTGTCTGAACCTCTCAGAAGAAACAAACTTTGCTTCTTGCTTCAGAACTCATAGGAGAGCACCCCTGAATAAATTTATGGTAGTCTTCAGAGCTGGCATTGGAAGCCAAAAGGCTTTTCTCTCCGATTTCTGTGCCTTCCTTCTTCAAATTCTGTTTCCTTACTGTGGAGACCTCTACACAGTGCTTATGACCTTGTACCTGACCCTGATGAATTCCGTGGGGTCGGACCTGGGTGTAGCCCATCACCTCCCATGGTACCCAATTCTCCCACAGAAGTAGGTATTTATATGCTCTGCTGGTTCAGAGTTGCAGTTAGCTCTGCTTGATATCCATTTTCCAGCAGCTGCTATGTGACGACTGTAGAGTCAGGTAACTGGGCCATGTTTGGAAAGCTACTTAGTATAGTAAAAGGAGCAGTGAGCCGCTTCCTGCTACCCAGCTCTCCGGCTAGTTTACACCCGAAATAATTACATGGAAACTGTATTCATTTAAGCACTGCCTGGCCCATTAGTTCTAGCCTCTTATTGGCTAACTCACATCTTGACTAACCCATATCTAATAATCTGTATGCCACCACGAGGTCGTGGCTTACCAGCATAAGTCTAGCCAGCGTCTGTCTTGAGAAGGGGAATCATGATGTCTGTCTGACTCTGCTTTCTTTCTCCCAGTATTCTGTTAGGTCCACTCTGCCTATCTAAGCTGCTGTCCTATCAAAAGGCCAAGGCAGTTTCTTTATTAACCAATGAAAAGTAACACATAGACAGAAGACCCTCCTACATCGTATCTAGTGTTCATGCTGTCCACTTGCAAAAAGTTCACAGTCACAAGGACCGTGGAAGGAATGTTTGGCAGGGCAGTGGCCCTCTGCCCTCCAAGGTCCATGCACGACTGGCCTTACACATGACTGTGTTGTGCTGTGTGATCTGGAAACTACCCCAGCCTTTTCTTTCATATTTGTTGCCTATTTCAGTGGAGAGCTAACAATCATGAGTGAATCTCTTCCATGACTTAGTAAGCTCATTTCATAAAAAGGTCCTTTACCCTTAGGCCAGAAAACACGTGGGGGTTTTGGTGAACGGAGATCATTTCTCCTCTATAGACCTGAAGGTACTGGGAAGAAGGATTCAGGATGAGCACCACGGCCAATAGACTGCCGTACACCGATTACAGAAACCACTCTGCCATAAAGGAAACCATAATGCTTCAGACAGCTACTGTCTTTGACCTGCTGACTATTGTAAACTTTTGCTGGCTGACTTCAATTAAAAAACTACTTAAAGAGAAGTTGTTCCCTGCCCACTACTCTGCCAGCCAGGAAGGAGAACCAGATGTGAACAATGGGGTCCTGTGCTGTCAAGAGGTTAAGAGCTGTTTGGAACTGAGAGATGTGTAGTAAATCTGGACTAATGCATGCACACAGAACACACAGATATCTTATTTTAATAACTGGGATTGATAGATCTAGAACACATAGATATCTTATTTTAATAACTGGGATTGATAGATCTTAGAGCTTAGCAATATCTCGGTGATATCCTGGTTTCTAAAGGGCAGGGCTTGGCTTCAGAATTAGAAATTCAGGCTCTCTGGGATTGCGGGAAAGCACTCTGCTGGCTCACGGTTTTTGACTTCAAGGAAGTAGTGTAGATGACAGCTAATTATAGGAAAAAATAAAGTTATCGGTTAGAATGAAGCCTATTTTAAACTTAGTCATTAATTTATTTACACTTATATATGTGTAGATGTATATGTATAGATATAAGTGTATATAGGGGTTTTAGGCCTTCAAAAGGAGCCAAAAACTTTAGCATGTGTTTTTTTTTTTACTTTCTTTAGATTTCCTTCTTGCACAGGCCATGTGGGCACTAAAATTCCTGGGTGCCTTGGCTATATATATATTCTACCTGTTAAGTGCCTTCTCTTACTTTCCATGAGACATGAAAGAAGGCCAAGAGAGGACGCTATTGACAGCCGTCCTGTAACCTGTGCGTGAACATGATTTCCATCTACTACATGGCAGAAAGGAGTCTTCCTCTTAACTGAGTTCTCGTTTAAGAACCCATTACAGTGTATTTAAGTTGTGAAAACAAATCCTTGTGTGGTTTTGGTGGTGTCTGCTCATTTATTTGCTAATATATCGATTAGCAGACTGGTGCCTTTGATTCTCCCTGGGCCTGCTCCATGCTGAGTTACCAATATACAACTGGGCAGGAACTGCAGGCTATTTTAGGATGCTTTGCTGCAGAAGGAAGTCTGACTCTAGCCCTTATAATAATCCTGTCACTTGGTGAGCACCCAAAAAATGGTGGCTGTGTTATTTAGTAGCATTAGAGCCTTGGACATTTGAATTTCAACTCAGAGGCTTCCCAGTACAGAGGGAATCTCTCAGCTAGTTAATTTTATTGAACCTGCACACGTGTTCATTCTGGGTACCTTTCTTCCTCTCTACCAATTTTTTCTTTTAAATCTTAATTATTGGTTATGTTATTTCCCTTATAGACCCCCCCTCTCTCTCTAAGAAAACTTGAAGATTGTACTTTAAAATTTTTATTTTATTGTCCTCACCATGGTCAGCCTGAGGTTTTTTTGCCACCATTTATAAAATATTTACCCAGCATAATTTTGATTTTTATTACCCCCACTGTGCAAACACATACAACCATATGCTGATGGTGGCCTTGCTATTTTCATAACAAGTAAAATTTTTTGGAACCGTTAAAAACACGGAATGAAAATAGTGAGGTGGAAGCAGGAAATTTGGGGAGAGCAGCAGAAACGAGCACAAGGGATTCTGGACCCTAAGAGGTTCGAGGACTTTGTCTTTTTCTCTTACTTCCTTTGGAAAGGGGGAATAGAAGGAACCAGGCTTAGTTTACTTATAAAAATGAGCACCTTTGACACATACATTAAATCAGGTGTAAACAGGAGAAAATCCGACAGTATCCTCCTGTGTTTTCTCATCCCCTTCTATAGGCACATTATCAGCATGGGTGGAAACTAGTAATTGTTTAGAAAAAGCACTTTCTTATTTTGTGTCCGTCTTCCTATACCTTTCTGTGTGCACACACGCGTGCACCATCCCGCCCCTCCCCCGAGCTCAGCCTGTGCTCTACAAGTGAGCTACTCTCCAGTCTCCTCTTCTTGCAAGACGAGCAGGGGTGAGTAGAGGCCAATACACTGAGAAGCACAACTTGAAATGGAACCACCTGACCTTCTCTCCAGCACCCACCCACCCCCGCTGAATTTAAAGTCATGCTTGGCGGTGGTGGTGCACACTTTTAATCCCAGCACTCAGGAGGCAGAGGCAGGCAGATCTCTGAGTTCCAGGACAGCCTGCTTTACACAGAGGGACCCTGTCTTGTCGGGGCAGGAGTGGGGATTAGAGTTAAAAACTCGAGACTGCTTGCGGGCTTTTCTTCTTGTCTTTTACTGCAAGGTGAGCTTGAAGAATTTACAACTGGCTTCAGTTCTTTTTTTAGGGTCTGCATCTTTCAAAATCTTGATAATGGACTTTTTTATTTGTTGTGGTTACCTGTCTTCTATCTGGCTCTTCTGCTTCTGTGTTAGATACGTTTTGGTGGCTCTGATAAAACACCATGACTAAAAGAAACTTCCAGAGAAAAGCTTACTTTGGCCTATGATTCCAGACGGAGAGTCTGGGGGGAAGGGATGATTGCAGATGGCAGAAGCAGGAAGCTGGCTGATCATATTTATATCCACACACAGGAAGCAGCGGGAGGGAGACATAAATCCTCACAGCCTGCCCCCAGTGACACTTTTCTCCAGCAAGCCTCCTCCCCCTAAAAGTTCCTTGAGTTCCCCACACAGCATCTCCTGTTGGGGACCAGGTGTTCAAATATGTGGGCCTGTGAGGGACACTTCTCATCCAAGCCACCACAGCCGCTAACGATCAGGTTCCATCCACTATAAACAGCCACTCTGTGTTGAAGCAAACAAATGAGATAAAAATTTAGCTTTTCACATAGCTTTTTCTTCCCATTTGGTAAGATTATTAACTTTAATATTTCAAGGATTCCCATGGGTTTTCTGACTTCTGTTTCTGCTAAGTTTTTATTTTGTATAGGCATTCATATTTGAGTTACTTTTTGAGTAGAAATGCTCATTTGAGTTCACCTAAGAAAGAATCCAACTTTCCTTATTTTCTCCATTTTTTTCTTTTTCAGAGGATGTCAAGCAAGTGTTTGGACAGACTACAATTCACCAGCATATTCCGTTTAACTGGGATTCAGAATTTGTGCAACTGCATTTTGGAAAAGAAAGGCAAAGACACCTTAACTATGCAGAGTTCACACAGTTTTTGCTGGTGGGTCGAATTCTTTTTTCTTTAGTTGCCAGATATTTTTACCCTGAATTGTTTTTTCTTACAGTTTCTGATAATATATCAGAAGGTCTTATTTTAAAGGTTATACTTGTATTTTCGTTCCGCCAATATCTCCTTTTTTAACTATTGTAATTTATGTGTATGGGTGTCTTGACTAAACATCTGTGCAACTGTGTGCATTGTTCAACGAAGCCAGAAAACAGCCTTGGATTCCCTGGGATGAGTTACAGACGGTTGGGAGTTAGTTGCCTTGTGTGTGCTGGGAACCAAACCTGCGCCCTATGGAACTGTTGAGCAATCTCTCCTGCTCCTGAAGTCTTAATCTTAAAAAGTGGAAAAGTGAAAAGGAAAAAATAATTCAGTATAATTTCTTGTTTTTTGTCCCGAAGCCCGATTCACCACAGGTTTGTAAGACTAGAAATTTAGAAGTATTTCTTTTTCAGTAGGTTGAAAATGTAGGATTACATGGACCTCTTCCTGTTTGAGACTGTGAAATGATCTCCTAAAGGTTACGAGGTCAAAGAAGGCAAAATCACAGGGCTGGAAAGATGTCTCAGAGCCTAAGAGCATTTGTTGTTCTTTAAGAGCAGAATCAGTTGCGTTGGGATTTGTGCCCAGATGTCCCACTATGCACCAGTAGTGTGTTTGCCTGAGAAAGCTAGCAGATGCAGCCGGCTGCCTCCGACTGTAGAGTTGTTCCCTCTGAGATCTTAAGTAGATTAAGCCTCCAAGTCTCCAATTGGCACATATTGAAATCATCCAGGCAATTTTAGAAAGCGTGCCTACAGATTTGGAGATTGCTGCCTTGGGTGGCCATGGTAGGCTACACCTGCTGTGAGAGGGAATTTATTGCCTTTTTAGTTCCTCTCCTGATGTGGGAGTGTCATATATCAATCTGTTGATTTCATTGGTTAAGTTATAATAAACCAGCTGCTTGGCCTCATGGCTGGAACATAGATGGGAGGAGTAAACAGAATAGAATTCTGGGCGGAAGAGGAAGTGAGGTCAGACTCTGCTCTGCTTCCGGAGAGACCGGACAGCTCTGCTGGAGCAGAGACGCCATGCTCAGCTCTCCCAGGCAGCTGCAACCCACGATGGACTTAGGCTAGAATCTTTCCGGTAAGCGCACCTTGGGGTGCTTACACACATCATTAGAAATGGGCTAGACCAGGTGTGAGAATTAGCCTGTAAGGGCTAGAATTCATGGGCCAAGCAGTTCTTTAAATGAATACAGTTTGTGTGTTGTTATTTCGGGCATAAGCTAGCCAAGCGGCCGGGGTGTTGGGGACGCAGCCCCGCCGCTCCTATTTCAACACTCTCCTAAGCTAACTTAGTTCCCTCCCTGTTTCTTCTTCACTTCTGTTGTGATTGGATCAGTGGACCACTGATGAGATCAGCCTAACAGTATTTTAAAATAAAATTAGACTGTTCTTATTCTGTGATAATGCTATAATGAATCCCGTGTCTTCTAGACTAACCAAAAATGAATTAAAAAATAAAATTGTGATTATGGCTTGATTTTTTTTTTTCCCTATTCAAGTGTCATTTTTTTTTTAAATTTTCACATTAATGTTTACTCTATGGGGGGCCAGTATCTATTGGTATACAAATCTCCATAAGGAATTAATTTCTTTTGGATTTTTTATTAACTCATCTTGTCTCTTCATTGATCACATTTCTCTTCCAAAATCTATTACTTAAAATCCCATGGTGGCTGTTAGTCTTCCGGGTTCTTTCTGTCTGAGCCTGGGGAAATCACCTTCAGTTCCTTGTTCTTCACTTTTGTGTTAGTATCTCAGCTCATCTGGTTCTTTTCCTTGCTGTAGACATTTCCAGGTGCAGGGGATGAAGGCAGAGCTGGGATGGAGTGGTGGGGATGGAAATAGCCAAATCCCCAGCGGTGCTTCTTCTTTATAAACATGATGTGGCATCCACGCTTAGGCACTGACTGGCGTGTGTAGCCCCTTAGTGTCCTAAGGGGCTTCCTTTTTGGACTTTTTCATTGTGTGTGTGTGTGTAGAGGCTGGGACACCCTTGGCTATTGTTTCCCAGGCAAAATCCACTAGTTATTTTGAGACATGGCCTTCCTTAGCTGGAAATTGAAGTCGGCTAGGATGGCTGAGCAGCAAGCTCAGGAATCCACCTCACTCTGCCTCCCAAATACTGAGGTTACAAAAGCTGTCTCCTAAGACAATATACTCAGACACTTTAAAAGCTGAATAGGAAGTCTTTGTTTGTTTTTTTGAGACAGGGTTTCTCTGTCTTTGGAGCCTGTCCTGGAAGCAGCTCTTATAGACCAGGCTGACCTTGAACTCACAGAGATCCATCTACTTCTGTCCCACCACCACCGGCCGAATAGAAAGTCTTTATTGCTGGCCATCGATTACATGGGAAACTTAAACAAATCACGCAGCTTAGATCCCCACAGTTCTTTGTTTTCTATGTACAGAAACCAAATTCTGGTTGATACCCTTCAGTTGGCAAGAAGCAGAGCTATAGACGCCAAAAAAACAAGGTTGGTACTTTTAGGGACTTTCCTAGATCCTGGAACTATGGACCAGGTCTTTGATAGATTAGGTCTTTGTTCACGTTGTGGCAGGTGTTAGGGTAAGTGGTGCCTCTAACGTGGTGTCAGTTACACTAGTGCGCCGCCCTGTTCTTCGTTTTATTAATTCTTTTATGAAGGTTTCTAGAGGTTGAACTTAGATGCACTTTATTGACTGGGCCATCTCCCTTGGCCCTCTCTTAGACTTTTAATTATATTGGTGCAGACACAGAATTTGTCAGGCTTTTAAGATTGCTCTTATTTTCCTTACCAAACTTCCAAGATACCTTGCATCTGGCCTGGTGCATCTTATCTGAAATCTCAGTACTCAGGAGGCTGAGACAGAAAGACTGCTTGCTGCAGGTTCAAGGCGAGGCTGGAATACAGAGTGAGGCCCTTTCTCAATTACGTCCCCACCCTTTCCCTCCTTCCAAAAAAGCAAAAACCAAGGACAAGATACCTTACCCCTGGTTTCGTATTTCCCTTGTTAAACATGTTAATGTCTGTGAATGTTTTTTCCGGTTCTATAGGGACATATAGTTCAGTAACTTAGGTGGGGAGTGGAACAGGCGGTAGTGTTTGTTGCTGCTTACACAGGACAGTGGACATGGTAGGAGGCGGTGTTCCTCTGGCGAGGAGTAATTGCAGTAATGCTATTGAGACAGATGCCTCAAAGTGACTCTGTGGAACACAGTCTAACTTTTGGTTTTAGTGGTACCTCGGCAATTGTAAGGATGATCACATTGTCCCCTTTAAGCAAGTACCAATTATACTGTAGCCAGTCAACAGTCAGCTACTCATGGCAGCTTCTTGGCCTTCCTCAGGAGGTGGGGAGCGTGACTCCAGGATTAGGTGATTCAGGATTGTGTGTTCTGTTTTCAGCTGAAGCTTGTAAGACCTTTGCTTAAACTTGACTCTGTCCCTGACAGTTAATGGGAGTATCCCACAGTGTCACACACGGGATGATTTGGCCTTTGAAGTCAGAGTGGATGCCTTAGACTTTTACTGATTTAAAGTGGCTATTAGCACCTAAGGATATTGACAAGGACTTTGCTTTAAACCCAACTTCAGACCCGGGAGAAAGAGTGAGTAGATGAATTGAGAGACGATTTCATTTGTGCTGGATTTGAGGTCACTTTCCCCACATTTCACGTGTTTTATTTACTGTCTCTGAACTCCTGACTCTAGGCAGGTTGAGCCCCGAGCCCCTACTTCAGGCCTCTTGTTTTCTTCATGGGCTCGTTACTGGCTACGCATAGCTTCTGGAATATGAAAGTGAGTATGCTCATTACTTTTATGCCAACTTGATACAAGCTATAGTCATCTGAGGGGAGGGAACCTCAACTGAGAAAATGCTTCCAAAAGATAAGGTCAGTAAGGCATTTTTAAACTTAGTGATTGATTAGTGGGGAGGGCCCAACCTGTTACGGGTGGTGCAATCCCTGGGCTGGTGGTCCTGGGTGCTATAAGAAAGCAGGCTGAGCAAGCCATGGAGAGCAAGCCAGTAAGCAGTATTCCTCCATGGCCTCTGCATCAGCTCCTGTGTCCAGGTTCCTGTCCTGTTTGAGTTCCTGTCTTGACTTTCTTCAGTGATGAGCTATAATGTGGAAGTGAAAGCCAAATGAGCCCTTTCCCTCCCAGCTTGGTGTTTCTTTGCAACAACAGAAACCCTAGCCAGGACAGTGAGCTTGGTCTCCTGTGTTTCAGGTTTCTGCTTTGTCAGGTATACCCACCTTCCTGCTGTAAGGCAGACCTCAGAAAGCAGGCCCTGCTCCCTGGCTGGCATCAGTGTTGTACAAGTAGAGAGATGCTTGGCTGTTTGGAATGTGGAAGCTGTCACCACGCATCCTCTTGTACATCTCTCACGAGGAAGAGAAGCTGCTGCAGGAACGCAGAGGACGTCCTTGTGGTTTCTTTGTTATATAGTGACAATGCTGATGTTCCTAGGAAGGGTCTCAGTTGTTGCAGGCCAGCAGAGGTTGGAGCCATGATTGATTGTATGCAGAGCGGTCAGCTGTGCACACTCCATAGGTCCCAGCTTGTATGCAGAGTGGTCAGCTGTGCACACTCTATAGGTCCCAGCTTGTATGCGGAATGGTCAGCTGTGCATACTCTATAGGTCCCAGCTTGTATGCAGAGCGGTTAGTTGTGCACACTCTATAGGTCCCAGCTTGTATGCAGAGCGGTCAGTTGTGCACACTCTATAGGTCCCAGCTTGTATGCAGAGCGGTCAGTTGTGCACACTCTATAGGTCCCAGCTTGTATGCAGAGCAGTCAGTTGTGCACACTCTATAGATCCCAGCTTTCCCCCTTGGTTTAATAAATACTGTGCTCTATTTAAGCAAATGTATGTTCCGTATAAACCACTGCATGGTTTATACAGGTTCAATCTGCTGATCTGCGTGTCAGACTCACCAAGGTGGTGGCTGGCCGTGTT